GAAATTTCGGTAAAATACTTATTATATATAAATGTACTTAGAAATAAGTTCGAATATGTCTTATTTGGTAAATTACGGATAATATTCAGATGCTTGATAATTAAAGACAGACGTGTTATGTTATATTTGTATTTCTCTAACCAATTAATTGTGAACTTAGATTTATGAATGCATCGTTGAACATAATAATGTGGTTATTTAAACTCACTTACAATACCTTCTAATTAACAAAAGTCTTTAATTTTGAAAAGACATCAACACAATAGTTTAAGTTATAGATACAATGGATAAGCGTTGATTCATGAAAAACAAACCATTCGCCCTCCGGGCTCATGGTTTCTTTTTCAAGAATCAACGCTTATTCATTGTATCTATACTACTGAGACGCCAGGCCGGGAGCCTGAAATTGTCCTGATAAAATCAGTTTTTCACAGTTTGTTTTATAATGATGTACCATTTACCTGTGTAATTTTTAACGTCCATGCATTATCAGACATTTCATGATATTCTGAATTTCAGAGCGAAAAACAATATATTATAAGAGTTAAAGCAGTGAGTAGAATCTTTTGAGTCAGACGGCCGGGATGAAACGCGCTTAATTAGAATTGCCATTGATATCGGTAAACGTTGGTATACTGAATGGGATCAGGAACAGTGCCTTTAAACGGCCCACATACAAACCTTTTTAGCAGTTACTGCAAGGTTCTTAATTATACAGAGAACGTGACACTCTTCATTCAAGAGGGGAGACATATACGTCACCATTCCGACCAGACGTGGCTACGCATTTATACATCCCGCAGAGCCAAATAGACACCCCTTTTCAGAAATGGATTACTCGCCCCACAGCCAATAAAATGTTATTGAATTTCTTATCCATTTCATAATTTAACATGAAATAAAGTTGAAATGCTAAAAGACTCCCCTTTGAATTATTGAATAATTGCAATTTGCATTTATCGTTATATCAAGAACTAGGTGTACACAGAGACTTATAAAACATATGTATTATATGTCTTTGTTGTAAATAAGATACACCCAATATGACAAAAACTCTCTAATACATTTAACCTAATCAACTCTCTGAGGTAAAACAATATACATTAAAACACTCATGTTCACCTAGCTACGGTGATATGAGAATCTAGTGTTTTTGCAGAACAGAGAATAATGAAGTGCTAAAATATAAAGAATAGAGAATAATGGGCGATATTTATGAAGAATAAAATGACTTAAAAAATAGATGAATACAGAATTGAAGGACCCTACTTCTAGAACGGTTATATCGACACCTTATGAACACACTCTTAAACGGTTATCTCGACACCTTTAGAACATGTTCTCACAAAGAAGCGGTTAAACCATAGAACAATCTCAGGAACTGGTCTCTAGACTTCTTTAGAACATTTTCTAAGAAAGAAGCGGTTCAACCATAGAACGGCTCTAGAACGAGTCTCTAGACATCTTAGGAACATTTTCTCAGAATGAAGCGGTTCAACCATAGAACAGGCTCTAGAACGGGTCTCTAGACAATTGTAGATCATTTTCTCAAAAAAAGCAGTTCAACCATAGAACAGGCTCTACAAAGGGTTTCTAGTCATCTTTAGATCATTTTCTCAGAAAGAGGCGGTCCAATCATAAAACAGGCTCTAACAGGTGTCTAGACATCTTTAGAAAATCTTCTGAGAAAGATGCGGTTTAAACCATAGAACATGCTCTAGAACAGTTCTCTAGACAATTGTTGATCATTTTCCCAAGAAGAAGCGGTTCAATCATAGAACAGCCTCTAGAACGAGTCTCTAGACATCTTTGAATTTTTCTCAGAAAGAAGCGGGTCAATCATAGAACAGGCTCTAGAACGGGTTTCTAGACATCTTTAGAAAATTATCTGCCAGACGCGGTTAAACCTTAGGGTAGTTTTGAAAACTCTACTCTAGAACATATTCTAATTACCTCTAATAATTTACTTGTCAAATTAGATTTTCTACATACAAAGCAGCCTCTGAACTAATTAATTAGTAAAGTTATTTCTTTATAGACGATACATTCGTATTAAGGACTGTCTCTTATCCTTTTTGTTGTTGTTTTTTTTTGTTGTGGTGTATTTTGTCTTTCTTCGACCAATAAGATAATGTTCTATACAAAACAACTAATTTATAAAAATACCTCGTGCAGTAGGTCGACAACTTTTGTTTTCATGTACACATGTTTTAAAATTTGTTTCATTCTCCGAAAAAAATACGGTCAACTCTTCTTTTAAAATGGGATCGTAGTAACATAAAGCGAAAATGTATCTTGATTATTGGTGGACTTTAGTCTATGCATTGAAATTTGTAAAATATTGTTAAAATCAGACACGTATACTTGTAATGTTTGAGAGTTGAAAATATTATATACAAGTGTTATACTTTTATACTTCGTTTGTTCCCGTTAAAAAAAAAGATCACCAATGAATATAATAATTGAATTTGAATCGCTGTTTTACAGCTGAAAATAAATTCAGGATCAACCCAGCACTTTCGCTAAGTCAGAAAAATGTAATGCATTGTCAAAAAGTACCGAGTATGTAGCGGCATCATTTTAGTTTAAATTTAAACAACATCATAGTCAAATTAACTAAATTAGATTGGACTACAGCCTATGGAAGCCCTCTTTGCCCAAGAAGTTACATATGTTATATTCAAGACGACACATACACTGCTATAGTTAAATCCATATTATCATAAGCATTATCATATTGTTTCCTTACTTATGCCTATTTTGTAATCTCTATTTATGCGTAAAGAAAGGAACACAACAGTAAAACGTAAGAGAAAATGCAAAACATCTATCCATCTTGTGTTTCTGAGAATGAAATTTAAGCTAAGTTAAGTTATTAAATATAATGTAAATCAACCATCCTTCGACGGGATTCGAACCGTTGATCCCATACAATTGCATTGATTTCTGCTTTGTGAGCAAAAGCCTTATTCCCAATGCTACCCAAGAGAACAGAGGCACGTTAAGACACTTAAAATATAAATGGAAAAAATAATTAAAAAAAATGAGAATAATTGAGCAAAATTTAAAAAAAGGGGAGGTGGTTAAGCAATAAAAGGTGGGTTTTTGTATAACTTACAGATTACAGCTTAATCATATGAGGAAAGGTAACGGTTTTTTATAGATTACAAGTCAGCTACCAATAGTTATGCACACTTTCTAGAATTTCGTTATTTTTCGATTTGTACCTTTTTGCATGGATTGGCTCATATGCAAATCACAACATAGAAGACAAAAGACTGAGCAAGACGAACCACACCAAAAAACCCGGTGGTAATTTCATGTGCTCTGGCAGGGTAAGCAGATCCTACTCCACGTTGGCACCCGTCGTGTTGCTCAATTCAGTACAAATCCGGTGATAAATCTAATTCGGTAGGTCACAGTCGGGAAAAGGAGGACGGTATTGCGGTAACGACGATTGGAACATATCCGTCTTCATCTGTGAAACTGATATTCAATAACCCCGTGCGGGATTCGAACTCACAACCTCAGTGTTGACTGGGAAGTGGTACAGTAGTTCGACTACTTAGACCTAGACTACTGGGGCACCGAGGCCCCTGCTTCTGTATGGAGCCAGCCTCATATGAATAAATGAACAAGTCGACAAGAAGAGGAACACAATTGGTTCCAATGAAAATGCTGATTGTTTGTTGGAAACCGCATTCTCCAAACGCTACAAATATTTTTTTCAATCAAGAAATCAAGCATCTTGACGTGATAATGTCAGTTTGTGGGAATTTTTTGTTTTAATTAGAGTGATTTTTTACAAAGTACGATATACCCCTCCCTAAGACAAGATACTTCGTATCTATGTTTGCAATTCTTTTTAATGAAACAAAACTCCTAAGTCAGGAGCCTGTTATTCAGTGGTTGTCGTTTGTTGATGTGGTTCATAAGTGTTTCTCGTTTCTCGTTTTTTATATAAATTAGACCGTTGGTGTTCCTGTTTGAATTGTTTTACACTAGTCATGTTGGGGTCCTTTATAGCTAGCTGTTCGGTGTGAGCCAAGACTCCGTGCTGAAAGCCATACTTTGACCTATAACTTTTTACTTTTTACACATTATGACTTGGATAGAGAGTTGTCTCATTGGCACTCATACCACATCTTCTTATTTCTATGACCAACTCTTTCAATTTGTCTTTTAGTTTGGATTGGGCTAAACTTATGTTATGTGTAGAAAGGTCAAATGTGTTTATACTATTGCAAGATGAAAGAGTCTTAGATTGTATTATACTCTAACAGATCTGTTGATTTTTTTAGTAACCACATCTGATTTACTCCGCCCCTAGAGAAAGTAGTTTCACAATAACTTTGAAATACTGTTTGTCTGTTTGTCTGTTGGTCTTTTTTTGCCAAGGCATTGTCAGTTTATTTTCGACTTATGAGATTGAATGAGCCTCTGGTATTTTTTCGCCTCTCTTTTTTAAAGACCGGCTTTGATTGCTGATCAAATCCAAATCGTTGTTAATAATTTAGAAAGAGGTTTCGTTGAGCACTTGGAAAACCCAGCAATACAACGTTGTGTGTGAGGACACTTAGGGAGCTACCATTTGATTTTTATGGGGGGGCTAGGATGAAAAATTTTGTCCTGCATTTTTTTTTTATTGGTAATCTCTGTCCTGCCTTTTTATTTTTCACTATATTCGGTCCTGCCTTTTTTTATTATTTTATCCTGACTTTTTTACAAAAATTGTCATCCTGCCTTTTTTTTTTTGCTAAGTTGCTCATCCTGCCTTTTTTTTACTCAAAACTCATGTCCTGCCTTTTTTTCAAATTTCATCCTAGCCCCCCCCCATAAAAATCAAATGGTAGCTCCCTTATGCAATTTTGGGTATCAAATACAGTAAAGGAAGACCAGTTCTTCAGCTATGGTTGAAATTCCGGAGGAGTGTACCATGCCCTTTTTGACCTATAAATGGTTTAATAAAATATTTGTATTCGTACACAAATAAAATGACAAAAACTAAACTATTTATTTAAAAACTACCTCAAAGCCGAGTGGACGGATACTCCAAATAATTAGTTTTAAATAATATTAGTAATATATTTGACTGTTTTAAGTAACACATAACGCTTAACGAGCACATTTGTTGTAAAATGTTCACATATGTAGAAAAATATACACATATGTAGTAAAACTTTCATACATGTGAGATTCAGAATATGTACAAATTGATAAATATATCAGTCTGTCCATCATTGAGTTGTATATACAAGTTTTTGATTTAATTAAAACATCCTATATTTTAGTTAATTCATATGTGTTTCTCTAATCTTCCTTTTATTCACGATCTATACAATGCCTCCCTCTCTCTTTTCCTCCCCTCTTTTCTTTAAGGACAATTCTCCCATGCAATCTATCAACAAACAAACGATTAGAGGATTATGTTGATCACTTTTTTATAAACATTCAGAATAACTTTGCGCATATTGTTGAATCTACAAATTCTGAAAAAGAAAAGAAAAAGTATTAAATAATAAATATTTTTTGTGTATTCTTAGATTTAGATAGAGATGAATAAAACAAATCCAATTTTGATTTTTTGTCAACTTCGAAGCTAATGCCCATTTAAGGCTTGATCTCCTGTTAAATACCGTTTAGCAGTACATATCATTTATTTTAAGCTTTCCGACGCTAAAAATAGAATAATCTATTGAATATAGGTTTATTTTTATTCTAATAAAAAGAGGATTAATAACTCGATGGTATTTGAATCAAGTAAAACGCTTTATTACTCACATCCCGTGCGTGAAAATACTTAAGTATCAAATCCGAAAATCTATCAATATTTGTATATAAATGCACTATGTCAAATATGAGGTCAAACATGAATGCTATTTGGTTTCAAGTATACGAATAAGTAGAAATCGGACCTCCACCAAAAAAAAAAGAACAAATACAATTATACTAATGTTATTCAAGTCTGTGTTTTTGTTTGATAAACATCAATTCGCTAATTTATAGTTTAAAACAATACTTGACTTTTCCTGTTTCCTCTTTCTACACCGAAATAAAATTCTGTTCAGTTGGTACATGACAATGAACGGAGTTTGACAAACATTTTAGACAACAGTCTTCTGTTAATGTGAAATATCGTTTATTGGCCTCTGGATGTATTTTGGTAATTTATATCGTTGTGCGTCTGTCCTATTGGCGTATACCCCACCAGTCCTTTAATTGATAGTTAGGAATTTGCCGCACCTTCGTTCACTAAATATCCATTCAATTTAGTTTGGACTATCCTTTATATAATTGACTTGTATATATCGGGACCTTTCATAGCTGACTATACGGTATGATTGATTGAGTGGTGTTCAACGCCCACTTTCAGCACTGATGGCTATATCGTTTTTATAGATTGAGGAAGTCAGAGTGCCCAGAGAGAACCATCAACCTTCGGTTGGAAAAATGACAATCCTAGTCAATTACGATTGGAGTCGAGCGCACCTGTCGCGTGCCAGGTTAGAAATCACAACCTCAGGGTTAACAGGCTAGTGATACAGTAGACTCAGCCACTGAGTCCTATTGTCTCATTGACAATCATATCACATTTATTTTTTTTTTTATTTAAAAAGTAGTACCATTAAAATCAATTTGTTCATTTCCGTCCATGTCAGCATCATGTAGTATTTCGTCAATGTCTTCTACTGTTATCCCAGATTGCTTGGTACACAGAGCGGAGATAAGCTCTTGTCTGGTTAGGAAACCATCACCGTCATTGTCCAATAAACAAAATGCAGCTTTCATTCTCTCACGTTCTATATCAATTGTGACGTAATTCTCTCTCATCATTTCTACATACTCGTTAAAGTCTATGAATCCATCATCTTAAAATTTATACACAAATTATACAAATTAATGAAAAAAATAAGCGGAGTATGTTAAACCTCAAATGTATTTTGCGATTGTTTATGTCTATTGTTTGCTCTGTCATTGACGTATACCAGACAATTTCTTTTATTCTTATATACACTGTATATGTAAAATGGAAAATTCTTCTATGCTAATTATCAACAAACAGTATATGATGACAAAAACGATCAAAGACCTAGTTTAATCACTTTTTTTAATACTCAGAATCAGAATAACCTTTTGTAAATTGTAGAATCTACAAACTGCAATTTAGTATATTTGTCAGGTTTTCAATCAAGAACAAGAACAACAAGTAAAACTGTGAGCTACTGCTCACTGATGATACCCCGCCGAAATATTTCAGTAAACAGAAAGTTGTTGAGTGATGAATCTGAAAACGCATCACATGGTGTAACTTACTTATATAAACCCTGAAACCAAATTTCCGAAATCCTTGTCAAGTAGTTCCTGAGAAAAATGCGACGAAAATATTCATGGGACGGACGGATGGACTGACGGACTGACGGATGGACAGACGGAGGTAAAACAGTATATCCCCACTTTTTTTAAAGCGGGGGTATAAAAATCATAACAAAAGGCAATGATTGGAAAATACACTGACTTAATACATACTGTTTTTATCAGATGACTTAAACATTTCGTCAACTTCAGCATCCGTTGGATTCATTCCAAGTCGATAAGCTCCGAGAATTAACTCTCTTCTCGATACTCTCCCATCCTTATTGACATCAAGGTCGTTGAACGACTTCTTTATTTCTAAATGCAATTATTCAAATACATGTATTTCAAGTCAAATAACTGAAGGAACAGAGAGCCAAGAATTGTTCAATTAACTATCTGAGTCTCTCAAATTTTTACAAACTCTTTGATTACAGAAACAATGAAAAAAAAGATTGTACTGCTTAAACAATATGTGTTCCAAACTTTCAAGCTTCCGAATGCAACTAAATTAAGGTCTCATTTCATTTGTATAATAGGAAAACAAAGGATATGGGATATCCATCCATGAAACAAAATCAGTACATGCACAGCAAAAAAAAAATACACAAAAAGCAAAGGAACAGCACTTTTATTGCTGTTCTTCATCTCACGGGTATACATATACACGGATACCAATAAACAGTAGAACAGATGAAATAAAAGCCTGAAAATAATGTCATCGAATTCTAAGCGAATGTATCTCACCTCTGAAGTGTTCAGTTGTAATTCATTGAAGAACTAGAGGCTCTCAAGAGCCTGTGTCGCTCACCTGTATTTACTGATGCTTTGGAAATCATGTAAAATAAGGTTAAAATCATAATTAATAGTATTAGATATTAGATATTATAATGATATCTAAGATAATAACAAAAAACTGCAAAATTTTTGTAAAATTACTAACTCAGGGGCAGCAACCCAACAACGGGTTGTCGGATTCGTCTGAAAATTTCAGAGCAGATATATCTAAATCTGATGAACATTTATGCCACCTGTCAGATTTGCTCTAAATGCTTTATTTTCAGAGATATAAACCAAAAACTGCATTTTACCCCTATGTTCTATTTTTAACCAAGTCGGCCATGATGGTTGGAAGGCGGGGTCATCGGACAAATTTTTTAAACTAGATACCCTAATAATGATTATGGCCAAGTATGGTTAAATTTGTCTCAGTAGTTTCAGAGAAGAAGATTTTTGTAAAAGATTACAAAAATTTACAAAAAATTGTTAAAAATTGACTATTAAGGGCAATAACTCCTAAAGGGATCGACTGACAATTTTGGTCATGACAACTTATTTGTAGATCTTACATTGCTGAACATTATTGCTGTTTACAGTTTATCTCTATCTATACTAATATTCAAGATAATAACCAAAAACTGCAAAAATTTCTTTAAATTTACCAATTCAGGGGCAGCAACCCAACAACAGGTTGTCAGATTTGTCTGAAAATTTCAGGGCAGATAGATCTTGACCTGATAATCAGTTTTACCCTATGTCAGATTTACTCTAAATGCTTAGGTTTCAGAGATATAAGCCAACATCTACATTTTACCCCTATATGTTCTATTTTAGCCATGGCGGCCATCTTGGTTGGTTGTCGGGGTCATCGGACACATTTTTAAACTAGATACCCTAATGATGATTGTGGCCAAGTTTGGTTAAATTTGGCCCAGTGGTTTCAGAGGAGAAGATTTTTGTAAAAAGCTAACGACGACGGACGATGACGACGCCGACGACGACGGACGACGGACGCCAAATGATGAGAAAAGAGGGGTCCCAACTTTGTTTCGCATTGAAACACTTTCGTATCTTATTTTTAATATACTTACTTTTAATATACATACTACACTTTACATGAGGGAATGACAATGTTTTTGTTTTTGCAACATTTAAAACTTTTCCAAATGTGTCACTGAAAAATGTGTTCGTTTAAGTTTTACCGTGCCTTTTAAAACAAACATCTTTAATCATGTCAAATATTTATTCTTGTCATAAATTCCTTACCGTCAATTTGCTGCTGGGTGAGTCCTTTGACATCCTTTAAAGGCAACAGCATATACGATTCCTTTCTTCGAATACTCTTCTTCTTTTCGGCCATTTTATTGTATATTTTTACTTCATGAACTGAGCTTTGTCGTCTTGGTGTCCTATTTTTACTTCCTGGTCTACTCGATTGTTCTTTAAAATTTGTTATGCATTTATCTTTGGAATTTCTTTTTGTATACCGGTAATCATTGATAATTTCACTATAATCGTCTTCGTCCGACTGATTTTCGGATTTTACAGAAATATTATCACATGTATCTGACCTTTCAAGTCTAGCTGATTTTATTACCCTTAAAGCTGTTTTAGCTGCGTATATAATAGTCTGTTCGAAAGCTTCTTTTTCAAGAGGGTCTATTCCATCTAAGTCTATGCTCTTTCGTCGTACTTCTAATCTTGAATTAATATCCTGTATTAAGCTTTCTCCCCGTTTACTAGATTCAGTTATGGAATTTTCACGATCCTTTGAATATTCTTCAGCAGCCTTACTTGTTCTATTTTGATTACTTTTTGAAACCGAAAACTCAACTTCATGGGATGGTGCTGGATTTAACTATAAATGAAACAATAATGACGATTATAAAGCTAAAAATAACTATGTAATACTTGTTTTATCTTAAAAGTAACTGAGTGAGATTGTCTTTGCAGAATGATTGGTTGATTGTTAGTGCTTAACGCCACTTTTAGCACCATTGGCTATATCGTGACGGTCAGTTTTTATAAGGGAAGCAAGCTAGAGTGCCCTGTGAGAACCAGCAACTTTCGACATGAAAATTGACAATCCAGGTCAATTAAGACTGGAATTGAATGCACCTGCCACGTGTTGACTGTGAGTACTAAAATAGCAACGAAGAATTATGGTGAATTACTTATTTAGACAAAATCCCTTTTTAATTTTGTTACAAAACTTAATGCGAAGGAACAGTGTTTTATGTGCTGTTCTTCATCTCAAAGTCACAGATAGTCTTTCAAAACAGGACAAAGTCAACATAATGTTTTTATTTGGTCGTTTCCTATAATCCTCAATCTAAGTTTTCTGTTTCACCGTTCTGGTTATCTTTTTTTGTTTTCTTAGAGTAATTTTTTTTTGCCACTTTAATATTGTTTCCCATCTTACATCGTAGTATTAGATTACGTGTCAAATGTGATTGACGAAAAATATGCTTAGATTATCGAAGAGAAAGGAATGCAAATTAGAACAATTGACAATTACTTACCGAAGATGAAAAAATGCCAGTATGTGAACTGAGAACGATTGTTAAGGTGTTTGGATTTATTAACCTCTTCTATACAACTACATTATGCTTAATAAGCGGTAATAAACATTTCAATAATGGTCTCACCTGTGACATATTTCAAGGGTCCAACAGTTAATATATATTGTAATTATTTTATTCCATTCAATTTTCACAATAGCACTGGGCTACGAAATTTCCTATGATTGACGTTAATTGCAATTAACTTTATTTTATCAATTCATTGCTGTGATCACTTAAGGTTATACTATAATACATTAATCGTTTAATGTTAATCTACCAAAAGCCTCATTTTCTCTACTTAACCCCACTTGTTAAATACTTCAGATGGATTATATTTGATATACATGTACTTTGTATGAAGTCAGGATTAAACCGTACCAATCTACATATGGCAAAACAAGAATGAACTCCACTCAAAATGTAACATTTCAACTTTTGGCATGATCTTTTGATTACAGGAGATAAACACGACCATATCGAATCTACATATGGCAAAAAAAAGAATGAACTCCACTCAAAATTTTATATGTTTGGTCACATTTAGCCAAGTAGTTTCAGAGGAGAAGATACTTATAAAATTTGACGAACGACAACAGACAAGCAATGAAAAAAGCTCACTTGGCCTTTGTTCAGATGAGCTAAAAATTAAATATTGTTTACTGAAACCATAATAAGGTAATCAAATTCCATGGAATTCGTCATGATCATTGCATGTAACCTTTATCGTCTTTTATTGGCTCCAAAGCCTCAATTCATGTAAAGTAAGTAAGTAATTAATACTTTATTTTGATTCAGCATATTGACAAACATTTTAACAAAGCTTCGATGAGCTTTTAACTGAATATAAAACATATAAAATAACAAATAGAACAAAGCATGCAGCATGCAAATAAATATCTACGAAAACAGCACAATATTTACTGCTGACACTGAAAGCATATATGAAGCTCTAAGACAGACAAAAGGGAAAATAATTATAAACGTTTACATGTTAAATATGGTTAGTAAGTGATACAAAGTAAAACCATCTATTATTTTTGTAATAAATAAAAAGTAATTTAAATTGCAATGTTTTAAATTTCTATTTTAGTTTTGACTTTTAAAAACTTGATTGTTCGCTGGATATAATTCGAAGAAACTTCCATTTGTCTGACAGGACTTAAAACATGGAAAATGGCATATACAATTCGTAGTTTATAAATTGATTATTCGTTTATTTTTTAACAAATAAATAGCAATTTAACACCGTAATAACGTATTCAAATCTACAAAAAAAAAATCTAACTCTCTTGCATTTAAAGGATTACCCGCAATACAACAATGATCATTGGGGTATCTAGTTGAAAAAAAATAGTTCAATGACCCCATCAGTCAACCAACATGGCCAACATGGCTAAACCTATAACATAGCGGTAAAATGCAAGTTTGGTCTATTATTTTTGAAAAGCGCTATAAATAGAGAAAATCTGTCATCAGTAAAAATGTTCAGGATGTTGAGATATACCAATTGTCCAATTACATCAAAACTATCCGACGATATCTTATATATGACATTTAAAAGCTTTATTAAGATTCGGTACAGTTACAAACTAAAAATACATACGAGTTTTAACCGAATACATACAAACATATACAACAATATAAAATGCATAATCATGCAAGAAATCTAAATATAGAGAAGCACACAAAAAAGTAAGCACACCACAAGCATGGCAAAGAAAATTATAATTGTTAGAATAACTATAAAAAAGCAAAGTAATGTAAAATAAGCACAGTGAAATAAATGAAAGCTTATCTTCACGAAGAACAGCGATATTCCGAGCCATTCCAGGACTGTACAAGAGTCTTGAATTAAGAAAAACAAAATGTTCTCCGTCCTAAAATGGTCCGGAAGACTGTTCCATAGTGCAGCAGCAGCAAATTTAAAATTTTCTTACCGTAAGCAGTAGTTTTTACATGTGGAGTATCCAATATTTTAATATTTGGAAAAGTGATGAATTTTACCATTTTTTTTTATCTTGCAAACTATAATAGATAGAGAAACTTTATGAAGAAAAATGAGCAGCAAGACAAGATCTACAAATAAGTCAACATGGCCGAAATCGTCCAATGACTTTATAGTAGAGTTATTCCTCTTTAAAGACATGTTTTTACAATTCTGTTTTAGTTTTTGTTTAATATCTTATAAACTACAATGTATAAGAGGTAGATACAAACTGAAATCAGCAAAAATGACCACAAGACAAGATCATCAAGATAAAAGTTAAATGACCGAAATCGGCCTATGACTTCTAATTGGAGCTATCAGGTGCAGATCTCGGATTTCGAAAAAAAAAAAGGAGCAACTACCCACCCCACCCACCCACCCCCGGGCATCCGACCATTGGAGTGATACTTGTAAAAAGTCTATGTAGTTATCATATATAAAGCTCCATAAGGACACGAGCACCCTGGGCCATCCCTTCATCAGCCTCTAATTATTGCTTTTTAAGGACTAGTTTTATCTAACTTTAGTGTTTTAGTGTTTTGTATTATCTTGATAATAGACACTTTAAATGACAAAATGATCAGCAAATTAAGATCTATTAATCGTCAGTCGACTTCTTATTAGAGTTCTTGCTCTATAATAGCTATGTTTACCAATTTTTGCGTTTTTGCGTATTATTTTGATGACTATGAATAGCAGAAATGATCAGCATGACAAGATTGACAAACAAGTCAAATTTATTTTGGTAGACTCTTTATAGGAGGAATTGCCCTTTCAAGACGATTTGTTATACTTTTAAGTATTATGGGCAAAAACTAAGGTCGATAGATAGAGAGAAACTGTAAAAGAAAAAAATGGTCACCAAAACAAGATCAACAAAATGAGATTTTTGTTATGATTTCTATTCTAGTCCACAATGTCTACTGTTGATGATACACATAGACCTGCGTGCGCGACACAGGCTCTGTATAGCCTCTAGCTAACATTTCCAATCGGTGGACAAATATAATTTTTTGTTAATATTTTAACACAGAATTAAAATGAATTATTTCGGAAGCGCTTGTGATAGTCTGAACGAAAGACTGGTAGAAAAATTCTACTTTAAAATTTCTCAGTTCCAAGATGACATTTCTGCCTTCCAACTTTAAATTTCTCAATTCTACATTGTAAGTTGACATTTCTCTGTTCCACATTTGAAGTTAGCAATGTACAAGTGGAACTGAGAAATATAAAGTTGGAAGTGAAAAATGTCAACTTGGAACTGTGAAATGTAAACTTGGAACTGTGTAATGTAAACTTTGAACTGTGAAATGTTAACTTGGAACTAAGAGATGTCAACTTGGGATTGTGAAATGTCAATTTAGAAATGAGAGATGTCAACTTTGAAGTGAGAAATGTCAGCTCAGAACTAAGAAATGCCAACTTGGAATTGAAAAATGTCAAGTTGGAAGTGAGAAATGTCCAGTTTTAAATGAGAAAGGTTAACAACAGATTGTCCCTACCGATCTTTCGAAAGTTCCTGTTCCCCAAAAATATCAGATTTACTTTCTACATAGTTTTTTTGTCTCACTGAAAAATCCAAACTGCATTTAAATTGCTAGTTGCTGTCGAAAGTAGCACCGATAGTTTATTATGTTACTGAACTGATTTACAGTGGTTACATATGGTATCTGATATTGATCCAGCTTTGAAGCTCTAAATGTTTCGGAGAACCTCAGACATAATAGTCCCAGCATAACACTTCCAGATAGAACATAATATTTGCAAGATTAGAAATATATATGTCTATATTGATATAAGATTTCAAATGGACAGGTCAACACTGAAATCGTCATTGTGAAGCTGAAATTACGACATTAGACAATGAGTCAACAGATAAGGTTGTATTGTTCTCGTTTTTGCAAGAGAGGTTGATGCATATCTTTTTTAAATATTTTTCGAATGATCCCATTTGTTTGTAGTTTTTGACCTATTATCATGAGTTGCACTTCGCTGCTGATCTTAGATACACATCCGGTGGTAGTGGTGGTGGCTGGTATTGGGTTTTAAGACTTTCAATTAAAAAAACGGAAAGGAGGAATTATTTAGAAATAAGAAGATGTGGAATGAGTGCCAATGTGTAAAAAGTAAACAATTATAGGTCAAAGTACTGCCTTAAACACGGAGCGTTGGCTTTTTTGAATGTCTTTGTTGAATTGATTGATGTGTTCATTGTAAGTTAATATTTACAAAATATTGGCTAAATAATGAATGCCCGTTTTAGTTTGTGGAAGAAGCCGGAGCATACGGCGAGAACAACTGACCTTCGACAGAAACGCTAGGAATCCAAGTCAACTAAGTACAGAGTCGAATGATCATACCAAGAGAGAGGTTTGACCTATTTTTTGACAGGCTAGTGATTCACAGTCTACCAACCTTCCAGAACCTTCTTATTTGTATTTAAAAGTGTTTATTTGTGCTAGTCCTGATAGTGAACGAAATATTTTAATCTGGAAGCTAAACAAGACACACACAATCAATATATCGGTGCCATAGCACGAGCTTATAGGAACATTTTGATGTCAAGTTTAGATAAAGTGCACTCGCCTGATTTACTGCCAATTAATTTTATGTTGAAAGTCTTAAAGGTAGAGGTTTTACAAAAAGTATCACATAAACTTAACATTTCTAAAGATCCATGAAAATGAGGTCAAGGTCAAATGAAACCTGCCAGACAGACATGTACATCTTACAACTATTCCGTACAAAAAATATAGCTGACCTATTGCTATTAGTATTTGAAAACACAAAAACACACAAACTTAACATTGACCAATGAATCATGAAAATTAGGTCAATGTTAGATGATACTGGCTAGACTGACATGTACACCTTGCAACCATTCCATACACCAAATATAGTTGATCTATTACATTAGATACATATTAGATGCCTCATATCATACAACTTACAACTGAAAATTTACAGAGGATCGTTTGAGAACAAACCTTTACGTCAAAAGAGATATTTAAGTTTTCCAATTATGGACTTTCCATTGCTATGTAGCATCATTCCAGCAACTCCTGAATATGGAGTATATATCTCCCAGTTGATAGGATATTCCAGAGCTTGCATTACACATCATCTTTCATTAAAAGGATATTTCTGCTTACAAGGAAGCTATATTACCAATAGTGCCAAGTGGTGAAGTTTAAGTCATCACTTCGGAAATTTTACTGATGCCATCACGAGTTGGTTGACTGGTATGAAATATCTGTTTCACAGATGACGAAAGATGTGTTCAAATTGTTGTAACATCAATCAAGTCATCTTTTCCTCGAATGTTACATCACCGAATTAGACTTATCACCAGGTTTTTACTAACATGAACTGTACCACTGGTCTGTTTATCCTTCCGGAGTACCTGGGATCAACCCTGATTTTGGTTGAGTTCGTGTTGCTCAGTCTTTAGTTTTCTATGTTTTGTTTTAACGACTGTAGTTTGTATTTTTGATATATTTTGATTTGGTTTTTTTTCATGTCATTGTCAGTTTTTTTCTTCAACGTATGAGTTTGAATATCCCTTTGGTATCTTTCGCAACTCTATATCATGATGAACAGAAGTAATGCAGACATGTTCAGTAAGTACACTTGTAAAGTAGACAAAATGTGAATGACAACAATCTGAATACTAGTAGCTTAAAATCTACACCAGATACCAGTGTATACAAATGTATTGAAAGATGCACTTTAGGACATACGTAAATTTCTGTTCGAAAGGATATGTGGTAGCGCAGTATACAGAGTAGAAACATTATCATAAATGTCGAGGAGACTAATCACCTACCAAGCAATGTATCTAATAAAAGATGTCAAAGGAATTTTTAACACTCTATAAACATTAAATTCTGCTATTAACTATAATGCTGGTTACAATATTTATAAACTAATTTATTAACTGTTGTAAAAGTTTTTTTTCAAAATCACCAAAATATTTGTACTGTTAGTCAAACAATACCTGGCGCAGATATAAAATAAACGGGGAATGTGTCCATGGGATACAGATGATGCCCCTGGTTGCATATATAACGTAATAAAGGGACATTACTCTAGAACGGTAAAAGTGACACCATCAAAATTCAAACTTGATCTGTGTTTTGTGGTTTTAGCATTGTGTATAAGATTCATAACATTTGGTTGAAGCAAACTTAAGTTAGAGAACGGAAACGCAATTTTTCCATTTGTAAAGGGCATAAATCTAGAAAGGTAAAAGTGACGCCCCCAGTTTAAAACTTGATCTGTGTTTTGTGAAAATGAGCAATGTGTATAAGTTTCAAAACATTTGGTTGAGGCAAACTAAAGTTAAAGAAAGGAAACCAATTTCGGGACGTACAGACGTACAAAAGTACAAAAGTATGGACGTACGGACGGACTCACAGACGGACAAGGGTAAAACTTACTGCCCCCTCCGCTACAGCGGAGGCATAAAACAACTTATGAATTGTCAAATGTTCTTCTCGTTATCTTTCCACCAAAGTGTTTTGTTTTAGATATAGCTATTTAACATTTCAGTTTCAAAGGAGATGATTTTTTAAAAAGTTAACAGTCGACTGACACCAAGTCATAGCAAAAGCTCACACTGGCCATTCGGGCCAGGTGAGCTCAAAAGGGGGAAGTCCAAGAATATGAGGTAATTAACATGATTAAGGACAATGGACATATAACAGACAGAAACTTTGTATTCTAAGGTATCTGTATACAGGTCTAAAGCTTTCAGATCTCCTACCTACTGTAATGTAAATCTTTAAAAAAAATAGTTTAGTTTCAATTTACAATATGGCTCCTGTATTAGCATTCCTATATCTCACATTCGTAGACTTTCTGAATTGGCTCGAAAGGAATAAACCATGTAAATAAAGTACTTATAGGCGGTATTCAAATGGTACTAGTTGTTTTTACGGCAGGTGATGAGGACCTATACATATTACTCTTTGTGCATTATCATAATTTCAAATTTTAATTACTGTCACCAAAGAACCAGTTGACAGAAGAACTGAAGTTTTATGTGTTAGATAAGAATTTGTTTCAGTCCGTGTGAAAATAATTTGTTTTTTAACAAACAAAAAAGAATTAAACTTCATTTTCAAAGATGAATTAGTAAAAAAATTAAGAAAGTAAAATAATGGTAACCAATATCTGTCCTTTTTACATTCTGATTACAAAAGAATGACACATGATTCTAATCATTTTCTACTCCTGAATTGTTCCCAGTAATTGTCACAAACCAGCTAATGTAAACTGTTTTCAAACAAAAATCAATCTGCAATAGGCAAAAACAAGAATATGTGTTCATATAACACCCTGTCCAGCAAGATTATCATATTTCAATATTCAGTGAACTGTGAAATCAGGGTTAAAACCCTTATTTTGATTTAATAATATTGGAATGTTAACTTCATCATGATCATGTGTAACTAGCTTCAACCAGATTTTATCATGACATGGGAAAGATTCACAGATAAAAAAAAATAATGCTCCTCAACTACAATGGTGGGGCATAACAAATTTAAAGACAATTGATTGATTGGTGTTAAATGCCACTTTCATTACCATTTTTCTATTTTGTGGCAGTCAATCTTTATTGGTGGAGAAAGACAGAGTTCCCAGAGAGAACCACCGACCTTCGGCAGGAAAAAATGACAATCCTAGTCAATAATGATTGGAGCTGAGCGCAACTGCCAAGTGCAGAATTGGAAATCACTACCTCAGTGTTGAGAGGCTAGTGATACAGTAGTTCAACTACTTAGACATCTTGGCCACTGAGGCCCAGTGGGGCATAACATATTTAAAAACAAATTCTTACCCTATTTACAAGGAACCTAGCTGCTTTATCTATATTTATATTTTCTTTAGCTGATGTCTCAAACCATCCAACAAAGCCATTTTCTTTACAAAAATCATCCATCTGAGAGACATTGTTTACTGTTCCTTCCTTGGCTTGATCACACTGAAAAATAGAAATTATACTTTAATGGAAGAGGGTAAAATACTTGTTTTATCAAATGCCTTTCCAGTGGCGTAGCTACACTTCTAATGATGTGCACTCAGAAGATACCGAGCGTAGCGAGGCAAAACAAAAATTTTGACCCTTTTTTGCAGAAAATGAATCTTTTTTCGATCTAAGATGGTTAATTTTGAAGTAAGTGAAGTATGCACAGTTGAGAGTTTTGCTATATATCAAATCAAAGACCTAAAACTGACTAAAAAAATCTAAAAACTTTGCAATGCTCCCCAATTTATTATTCTTCAGAGAAAGAAAGGGCTAGAGAACTGGATCATCTCATGACATATATAAGTTAACATACGAAAACAAAGCAATTCAAACAATCAATTTTTAATTTTGTGATATAGGAATGTGACCTTCGTATGTAAGACTGAAGTTATCAACCGAGGTCCTTTAGGAGAGTAACATTTTCCTTTGCCTAGCATTGTTAAACGTGTCAATAACTTCTTTAGTGTCAATGTCAAAATCAGAATGAACGTGCAGCAGTGCAAGTTAAGAAAGTCTTTCTTGTTCCATGGTCGATCTCAGATACGTTTTTACGCGTTTCAGAGCGCTGAAAGAGCGTTCAGCAGTAGCGGTTGAGGGTGGTATGGTGAGAAGTATTTGCAGAATACAGAATATATTTGGGTAAAGTTCTTTCGGCGTCATCTCCAATGTTGCACAGTGTTGGTCTGGTTTCTTAGATGGATAAATATCCCATCTCGCAACCCACCTTTTAATTTCGAGAAGAAACTGATCTTTTGGTTGAAGATCGGACTCGTAGGCGCGAAATATGCGAATTTGATGGTCCCGATTCAAACTTTTGAGATTGTATGGAAGAAGCATCTGGGCAAGAAAACGTTCTTCCGAATTGACAAGACGATCTCGTAGTTCGTTTAGTAGATGGTCTAAAAATTGTATATACAGTGTGACGCCCCAATAATCCTGGATACTGACAACAGCGGGATTTGCCCGATTACGTTGACGACCGGTAGTTCTTGGTTTCTATATATATATATAGTAACAGTCAATCGCACTCTTTCTTTTTTTTGACTGTTATGATTTTTTAATAATGATTTTTTTTTGGGCCATTTTGTTTGTGCACACAAGTGCATTGTTGCGTCAATGGTAGCTACGCCACTGCTTTCTCATAGATAAGCATCATAGCTTGTTGAAAAACAAAGTTATCATACATGTTCATGGCAGTCTTAAAAAAATAAAATAATTAGTAAAATAACAGTAACATCATGGTTGCATAAGTCTAGTTTGAATCTTTATGGATTTTTAGTAAGTGAAAAAGTGTTTTGTTCAATTCTAAGCATAGCTAAAGTCTTGAACAAGTTTCTACATAAAATCAGTACTCCAAAAGGGCCTTAACATCATAATTGTGGTCACACACATTACACTTCACATGATTTTAAGGTGTATGTGGGGTCTTAATTAAAATCCATAGAATTTTTTAATAATTTGTCAAAATGTAGTTTTTATCATGCTTTTTTCAAAAATATAATAAAAAGTATGGGTCACCGGACTATTTTTCACGCTACAGGTTGTGAAAAATTGTCCGATTTTGTATAGATTGTGCATGGAAAATCCAACTTTGTGTGATAAAAAGAAAACTACACCATAGAATTTTAAGATAAAATGTGAGAAGATAGCTCTTATAACATGCTTTCATTAAAGAAAAGAAAAAATGGGGTCACCGGACTTGTTTTCTTGCTACATATTAAAATAGGCTAATTCATAACACATTCTATTATAAAAATTATTTTATCTGAGTTATCTCCCCTTATGTGGCAAAGTTGAAAAAAAAAATGAATCAAACAAAAGTATTGTGTGTTTTTAGAAAAAAACAGCCGTAAATATGATAAAACACATAATTTTCCATATTAACTTGAAAAGTCTTACACATGAATTATATACTACTCTCAAAATTTGCACATATCATTAAAGATCTAGACCAATTGGTATCTGCTACTTCAAAATCCAAGATGGAGGAAGACATCCCATCTTAAAGGTAACAATAACTGATAGTAATATGATTATTCTCTTTGAAAACATATTACATATATATAATGCCTACCGATTTGATTCATTCAGGAGATTGTAATTAAGTGGTTGTAGTTTGTTGCTGTATAACACATTTGTTTTTCATATATTGTTTTGTACATAGTTTAGTCTGTTAATTTTGGGTAAATTGTTTTTCATGTGTCATTTTTGGACCTTTCATACCTTTGTATGTGTTAGGGATTTTGCTAATATGTGAAGGCTGTATAGTGACCTATAGTTGCTAGCTTATTAAACATTTGGAATCTGGTGGAGTGTTATATCTTACCTAGATGTTGATGAAGGGGAGCCTCTCAGGGACAACCCCACCCCTTTATGGACCTTTATATATCATTTATATGATAAATGCATAAACTATATTAGATGATATATTATACTAGTATCACTTCGAATGTTGGCTTGCCATCCCCCCCCCTTTTTTTTCAAAACCTGGATCTGCACCTAATACCACATCTTCTTACCTTAATAAGGGACATAACTTACTTTATTTGCCAATAAAACACAAGGTACAGGTGTTGAATCTGGTAGTGTTACTTTACTATCTAAATCTGCTTTCCATTTAGTGACAGCTTCAAATGTTGATGGTTTTGTTACATCAAAAACTATAAAACATCCATAAGCTCCATTGTAATAAACACGAGTCATGTTACCAAATCGTTCTTGACCTAGAAATAGAGCCAACAAAAATGTCAATATTTCAATTGTTTTAAAAGACAAGAGTTCTGTAACAAAATCCTTAACAGAGTATTGCAGTATTGACAACTTTCATACCAGATTTGTCCTTGCATGAGCAACTGAAAGGAAGCCACATGTAGGATAGGAAATCCTTGCTTACCCTTCCGGGGCACATGAGTTTGCCCATGGCTTTTGGTGTGGTTCATGTTGCTCAATCTTTAGTTTTCTATGCAGTGTTGTGGATCATTCATCTTTTCATTGTTTTTTTTCGTTTATTCACATGATGTTGTAATTTTTCTTTGACTTATGAATTTTGAAAGTCCCCTTGTTATCTTCAGCCTCTTTCTTTTCATAATATTTTTTTCTAAGAAAAATAATAAACATTTGAGCAAAAACCTATATACTGATTACCCTTTTTACTGTTTTCACTAATTATCTGACCCTGTTGTCCAATCAACTTCAAATGTTTTAATACCATTTATTCTTTACTAAGAAGTAAATAAAAGTAAAAGTTAAGTGTATATGTATGGTATGACTTTTTCTGTGTTGACATGATTTATCATTGATATGTCAGAAATATAGACTAACTTACATTTGTAATTACACATGTTAATACAACTTTGAATTTTTCGAAATAATATGAATTTTATACCCTTGGAATAGATCTGACCCCTGGAATTGATTACCTTATCTGTATTTGGCAAAACCTTTCCAAATTTGGGATCCTCAATGCTCTGTAACTCATACTTTTTTGTCCTTTTTAACTTTTTTGATTCCAGCGTCACTGATTAATCTTTTGTGGACAAAATGAAGTAGCTGCTTTCATCTCCAGGGGCCACTTTGATCCTTATGTGGTAGGGGTGAGCATCAAGTAACCCACCCTTTTCAAATATTTTTTTAAAATAATAAAATCTTATATTTTTTTACAAAAAAACCTAAATGTATATTGCACTATTTCATGGAGAGTAAAAAACAGATTTTCATAAATACCTGCATGCATTTATGACAGTGGTTTTAATTGCATCCTTTAAAATACTTAACATTTTAGATACATTGTTCTAATCTTCCTGAAAATATAAAATCTGTGCACAGAGCCACAGATAATTTTACCGTTTTCTGATGAGTATTATACGCACTTTAAAAGGGGATGCACATCATACACAAAAGCAGACTGTACTATACTATATATTAATCGCAAACCTGCAATATCCCATAACTGTAACCTCACGACTGTATCATCATCCCAATTCATTACCTTTAACGCAAAATCTACACCTATCTATGGTCACAGTTAGGGAATGCAATGTATCATATAAAATCAGTATTAACCTGATTTACTGATGCCGTTTAAAATCATTCCTAGTGGTGATTTGTCACAGAGGATGCAGGTGAATGAATTAAGATGATTCACTATAAAATACTTCTCTATTATATATTGGATGGCAATGATGTAAACTGAGAAATTTTAGCTAGGGTTTTATTTCAGATAATTTACCGATTAAGATAAAATTGTGAAAATTTCCTTTCAGGTAAGAATGATAAAACCAAAAGCAAAACAAACAGATAATTATTACCTTGCAAACAGGCCTTTTAAAAAACTCAGAATTCCAAATGTTTTAGACGTTTTTTATTCTTGCATAAATTACGGCAGTTTTCATGTTTTTACAAAAATAAGAACTCACATTTTAAACTTTGATAGTTATCTGTATGCAGCATCTTCTAAAATCACCAAGTCAGGAATATGACAGTTGTTTTCCATTTGTATGATCAGGTTAATGCATTTGAGCTTTTAATTTTGCCATTTGATAAGGGACTTTCTGTTTTGAATTTTCCTTGGAGTTCTGTAGTTTTGGTATTTTACTTTTTATAAGTCTTCTCACATGTTTGTCGGTAGTTCAGCAATCACAATGATTGTTCCCCTAAAAATAACTTATAGTTAAATAAAATTGATAATGGAAACAGGGAAAGTATCAAAGAGACAAGATCCCGACCAAAGAGCAGAAAACAGCCGACAAGTATGTTAATATAAGGATACTGTAGCTCTGTATTGTTCAGAGAATAAGTTATGAGCACAACGGTTCTTGATGCTGGTTTTCCCTGTACCAATATCCCCGATCACTAGAAACTTGTATAAGAGCTCTCTTTTCTCCACTGTAGCTGCCTGCAATAAAATCATTCCACTAATATTTCAAATTATCATCAAAATTTACTAAAACCTAAAAAATGTACAGTAACAAAATGTTAAAATTGATACTGTAAATTCATCTATTTTCTTTTGAACCAATTTTTATGAATTCAGGAAACTTGATTTCGTGGTTTCAGGAATTCCACAGGCAGGTTTAGGGGAGACCAAGGGGACCCTACCCCTTTTGGAGCTACACATAAGGTTAATGCATAGACTTTTTACATGTCCACTTCCAAATGTTGCCTAGTTTGGGAGAAGCCCAGCTTCAGCTAGCTGAAATATTGGAAATATGATACATGTAAATATCAACCCTAACCCTTACCCTATCATGCCTTCAAAACCATATCATAATCACATTTATCAGTCAGCTGAGACGGTCAGCAGAAGTTTTACAAGAATTGAACATAAAAATATATTAATTGATACTTAAATATAGGTGTCAAGAGAAATATGTTTATATTTAAAGTGGCAGTCACATGATGTACTGTCAGTATAGCTCAAGAGTTAATTCCTGCATCTTGGAGGTATTGATTACACAAACAAGACAAAAAAACATTGTGTACATAAATGTGTCAATCATGTTTGTCAATTTAATACTGTTCACATATTTTATATACATTGTGTAATTATTATTGTACATATACATGTACATCAACATTGTGTAATTATTATTATACACATACTTCAACATTGTTTAATTATTATTGCACAGATACATCAACATTGTGTAATTATTATTTTACATATACATGTACATCAACATTGTGTAATTATTATTGTACATATACTTCAACATTGTGTAATTATTATTGTACATCATGATTCTATAGTTATTCACAGGTCAAATATATTCATAACCAGTACAGAAAGATAAATGTCTTAGCTCAGGTCAAACTAAAAAATATTTGTGTTTCTATTTCCTTACCTAGTCTCATTGTTATGGCTCAAAAAGTCTATGTAAAGTTTTCTTTTAAATATCTCAAGTTATACTTCCCCCGATTTATGAATTTTCACAATAGTATGTTGTAAATTATAAATAAATGAAATTTAAAGGTCAAAGTATAGGACAACGTGTTAGCCCTATTAAATGTTTGTATACAGCTAGATGATAATTTTAAATTTCAAATTAGAATTATGATAGTCCCTCGACTGTGAGGTATAGACACTAGTTTTATAGAACTCATACCTCTTTTAGTTTTATTTTTTAAAGAAAGGAAAGGGGTCTGTTTTTAGTGAATATGGAGGCTGTGCATGAAGTTCTAGATTTTGACAGTTTTAATATATTGATTATTCTTACCATTACAATCACATATATCGTATAATGTTTATGAGTGTATATATTGTTTTAAATTCCTTAATTAAGACATTTCTTTCCACTGTATAAGACAATTAACTCGTCTTCTGTTGATATGTCTGTCACATGACTTGCATACGAAATAGTTCGTAATCTCTTTGATAATTATATGGATTGCTAGCATAAGTCTAGAGAGTTAACTTATTTCCCGCGTTTATACTAATACCAAAAGTAATATTTTTTGAGAGCGCATCCGAATGGCCTTAGGATAATAAAATTGTGTTTCTTTTTTTTTAAAGATCTTTTTTTTTAAACTATATCATAGTCTTTTACAGTCGTGCGTGCTGAAAACAGTTTTTGTCCGCTTTCCTCCGATTTTTTGTCTTTGATTAATCAATTCGTTTTATATTCACTAATTTACGCTAGTTTGAGTTAATTTGTCAATATTTTCGGTACTCCTCTCTCTTTCTTTAGAGAGTATTAACAGCGCTGTGTTCAGACATTTCCATTGTAAGTGTTTCGTATTAGTTTATAAAAATTTTGTGCAACGCCCCTGCAGCAAAAAAAAAAACATGCAACGAAATGAAAGGGAGATCTAGTATTAATTAGGGTTGGACGAAACAAGGAGGGTTCTCGGACGTGTACACTATGTGTTCGTGACTGCCGAGAAGATTTTATCAGAGGTGGATTAAGGATGGGGGTGTGGCACGGTGCCCGCCCCCCTTTTTGTGGGAAAATTTGGTTGATTATATAGGGAATCACTGAGGCATGACTGGAACGGGCCCCTCTTAGGCAGTCAGTGCCCCCCTTATTAAAATTTCTGGATCTGCCACTGTTTATACACCCATGCCACCAACAGTGTTTAAATTCGATTTAGAAATTGAGAATGTCATCATGATGTCGAAGATGTTTGTGGTGTCATTGTTAAAGGGTGTACTTTAAATTTCTGATTAGGTTAACGGGTTTTATAGTGTGTGTGACCTGTTGGCACAAATGATCCTTATCATTAATGACCCAAATTCCAGTATATTTGTTTTAAGCTTTCGAACAATAATAGTTAAATATCAAACAATTAAAATCTTAAAATTCAAATAAGATAATCACTGGTCAGTTAAAAGAGCTAGCTTAACTATATTTTATGAGCTTAACGTGTACAGAATTATTGATTTAATAAAATTTGGGTATTAAATATTTGTTAAATTAAGTATTTTTAATTCCAATCAACCAATATTTTGAAATACTATGCCAGTCTATATGACGCCAATTTAGAGTTTATTTAATTCCACGAACTGGGGTGTGACAATTACCAACAACTATCTGTGATTAAGTAAGTATTACAATGTAATGATTAGTTGTTTATGTAATTAATGATATCTATACTCTGATTTCATATCTCTTTTCTATATATTTCGTATTAATTCGGATTCGTTTGATCTATAATGCACAATTCGTATCGTCTATTTTACAAATTAGACGTCGCAAATAGCAACAATGTTGTGCATACGACACGTGACGTTATAAAATAAAAACGAAGTCTAGGACTGTGGGTCTACGAAGCCGTTGTATTGGATTGAATAGTATTATATATAGGTTACATGTCTAATATAACTGCACACAATCCATATTTTGTATTATATATATTTCCTGAATACCAGTTAAGGGTGTTTGGAATTTGAAGAAATATAAAAATAAGGAGATGTGGTATGATTGGCAATGAGACAACTTAGAACTATCCATTTCTAAATCATTTTGCATTACTGTTTAAATTTTACAAAGTGATTACCACGATTACGCGCGAAACTTCATATCAGGTTTCTCGAAATAGAATGTGTACTAATTGATAATATAGTCTTAGAAACATGATTTTTTTATTAGTTGTTACTGGCTTGAACTACAAATGTAGCTTTTAGTACATTGTAAGTGAAAGTACTCTCGATCAGATCTGTGTTTTATGTCTTTACTGTTTTTGTTTAAGTTGTTTTGTGCTTTGTATCGGTCTTATGTTGTCACGCTGTTACATCACTGTCAGAAGTTCGGGATGTTTTCGCGCCCGCAAACATGTTTATTCCAGCCACATTCTGTATATGTCTACTTTAAGTCAGTAGCCTGTAGTTCAGTGGTTGTCGTTCGTTTGTTGCTGAATATCATATTTGTTTTTCGTTAAAGGTTCTGTACATGAATCAAGCTGTTATAGTTTTTTTCGTATGAATTGTTTAACATTTTTCATTTCGGGGCCTTTTATAGCTTGAGGTGCAATACATGTATGAGTTTTACCCATTGTTGACTTTCATACGGTGACCCTCGGTTTCTAAATCTACGTCATTTGGTGCATAGTTGTCTCACTGGCAACCATACCACAACTCCTTATTTTATGTTATGGATTCAGTTCAGAATTGTTCTTTTCCAGTACTGATTAGTATTGTATGCTGTTGCGTATACTTTTTTGTTGGTCTACTGATTGTGATTTAAATGGATGGTTAGTGTGATCTCAAAACGACAGTTAAAACCTAAACACATATTAACGTAATTGTTTCAAATCAGGAACATCGTTAGCGATTGTCTTATATATCTTAATGGTTGTTGCAACACTTTCATTTGACCCCCCCCTTTAATGATTGCCAATGAGACAACTATACACCAAAATTTAAATGAAGTGGATGTAAGCAATTATAGGCAACCGTACGGCCTTCAACAATGAGAAAAACACCATACCGTTTAGTGGGCTATAAAAGGCCCCGACATGAAAAATATGAAACAATTCAATTGAGAAAAATAACGGCTTAATGTATTACATAATAATTTACGAAAAACAAATATGACAAACATGAACCAACGACGTCCACTGAACTACAGGTTCCTGGCTTGGGACAGGCACATACAGAATGTGTATGGCGATATTAAACATGTTTGTGAGCGCTCAACCCTCCCCTAACCTTGGACAGTGGTGTAACAGCACAACATAAGAACAAACTATCGGTGTGAGCCAATGCTCCGTGTTGAAGGCCGTACCTTGACCTATAATGGTTTACTTTTATAAATTGTAACTTGGATGGAGAGTTGTCTCATTGGCACTCATACCACATCTCCCTATATCTATATAAAAATCTGTTAAAAAGGGCTCATCTCATCAGATCGACACAAAACAGAAAAACATCTAACAAAACACAGACTAGACGTGGCAGAGTATTTATATATTCCTAACAACAAAAAAAGACACAAAACACAGATCTGAGAGTATACTAACAGTTATTGACAGTTAGTTCAAAGCCAATAACAACTAATAAAACAATCACGTATCTAAGAAACATGTGTCTAAAAATATATCTAAAAATGATTCATGTCTATATGTTTAATACGTCATCAGAAAAAAAACCGGGGTATTATTTTATATTTGCTTATCATTTTGTAAGACAGGTTATGGTCGTAAACTATCACTAGTAATAGTCTTTTCGATGTCCTTTGTTTCTTTGTATTGTCGAGTTGCTTTCTCATTGACGTACATACCGCACATCTTTCGTCTTATAAGATTAAGTAATACAATCTAGTTATGTGTTTAGTGGATTTACAATAACCTTTGTTAGCATTTTTTCAAAAGAATTCAGTATACCTCGAGTATACACATTCAATGTATAACTAGTATAGTCATCTTAGATTCTCCCGACCGGAAGTAAAACCCTTGCTAAAATTTGCCGTTTGTTTTGCTGTGTGGGATGTAAAATTACTCACCGCAGGTTAAAGACCCCTTTCAACTGATCTCTGAAGGGTCCAAACGTGACCTGTTACCTGTTCTTAGGCAAATTATTCAATCTTAATCATATCACCCTCATTTTCCAGTGGCAGTTCAAATATTTCGCACTTCATCTCGGTCCAACTACCTTGCAGAACCTTCTCATTGAAAACTTGTTAATTCAATTGTGTCAATCCTAAACATGCATGAACTATTTGGAACTGGGTGTTAAGCAAATTGCAACCAATCAATCAATTTTTTTCTCACTTATTAGGTTTTAAAATTTTGTAATTATCTATTCACTACACACACTTTTTCTATGTTGTAACCCTTGTACCATATAATGTTATTTCTGTTCGTTATTCGATAACAATCATGGTATAATTCCATTTTCAATTCTAAGACTATAACCTGTCTGACTGATAATAAGAATATTCCTTTTCTAAAGATGTTCTAGTGAATGCCTGGTTTCTGATGCAGTTCTAAGATGGATGGAGAAAATACAAAAGATTCAAATTCAGATAAATACAAAAAAGGTATTGCGTGTTTGTTTTGATAGTACAGGATGTATAAGTAATTTTGAAAGTGACCGATAATTATAAACCAATGATAATTATTTTTCATTAGGTTTGTGTTTAAAAGATTGTTTTTAAATTAAATGCTTACAAAAAGTGAATCAGAATTCTTTGTTTTATTTCCCTGAATATCCAAGTTATTAAAGAGTTATAACCTTTCAAATAGAAAAAAATCAACAACAACAAAAATATGCGATAGTGTGGCAAACTTTTGACCGTATCGTCTTTCATGTGGTAGTATGAATTTAATATTGCCAAAAGACTTTAAACCACCATCAATCAATTGGAACGAAAATATGAAGTTCATTAACAGATTATACCTTTTACCTCAGAGCCAAACAGTCGGCCCAATAACCTGAACATGCATGAAATATTTTCCACTGGACGTTAAGTAGCCAACAATCAATCAATTAATCGGACCTAATAAAAAAAAAGTATACGTAGTTTTGTCTGCAAAGAAGCCGTACACTTAAAACTGAAATATACCATACATGATTGATGCATTCGCTGCCCATTTTGATTTACCGTTATCAAAAGCTTTTTGGTAATTTTGGTATAATTTCACGGCCTCCGATATGACAGGATTAACCCATGATGCATGAGTAGCTCATTGACAACAGCGGTTGCTAAGCTTATTTATTATGTTATGCTTAAAGAGAAGATGTCTGCTAAATTGTTGTTATATTATGACTTTGTGTTGTCTTGACAGAAATGTTAACCCTGCTATAAAAGAGAAATTTAAGTTTATCAATATAGATATAGTGGATTTCTTATATAATAAATATTCGTAAATATGTTCCATGTTTTAATTATAGAAATAAGAAGAGCATGGAATGTCCTTGACCAGAATGGAGATAACCAAGTCAATGCTAGTGAAATAGTTCGTGGTTCTAGGGTATTAGGCATGAACCCAACTTTGCAAGAGGCAGAAGCATGGATTGAAGATATTGACGAAAACAGTAATTGCTATTTATCTCTTATATATATCATTTATAAAAATAAGAAGATGTGGTATGATTGTAAATGAGACAACTCTCCACAATAGACCAAATGACACAGAAATTAACAACCGTATGTCATCGTAACTGCCTTCAACAGTTAGCAAAACCCATTCCGCATGGTCAGCATGATCTACACGGTTAAATTTAAGATTAATCTTTAAGAGGAAAAGAAGTATCAGAGTGGCAATCAAAAACCAAAAGATGAAGAAAAACCGACAGCACCATGTACAAAAATCACAAAACAAAACATAAAAAGACAAATAACTGCCCACCACAACTACACAGAAAACTAGAGAATGACCTGCACGAACCCATGCAATCAAAATTGAAAATGACCTATGGCGCTCAAGAAAGGTCAATATTTCAAGTGCATATTTTGTTGTTTATAGGGCGTTTATAGCTGCATCGTTTATTCGCTTATAACGATTAAATAAACTATATTAGCAATTTGATCGAGATACAACTTTGTACGACTTTGCCCCCAGCAGAGCTATAGAAAAACAATACATTAACGGGTGTTACACGAACACATTTTAGATGATACACGGACACTTTTTATTAGACGTGTTAGGAATGGGATTTAAATATTGCGCTGATGTTAAATACCAATACCGATACAAGATTTAAGTGTGGACTTTCTCAAAATGCAATTACATTGAAAAGTATCCCGGCGTAGTATAGTTTAGCTTTGTGGTGTGTTTGATACAACACGAAGCGAACGGTTAACGTCGACTCCAAATTTTACGACGTGCATTGGCCTCGGCTTGCGTAGATCTTCATAAATTCATGTGTATTTGTTTGATTTAGGAGTGCAAATCAAAACTTAACAAAATATATGTAAGAGCCAAGAATAGGAATGACGGATTTTACAGCCACAAGTCCAAATACATACATTAAGAGATATGATTAGAATATGTTTGTCTCTCCACAATAGATATGTCCTATTTTCGTTGCAAAATATAGTTAGATGCATTTTGTGTCCGGGGATACAGGGACACGTATGTGTGGCTTAAACAAATCAGTACTAATCTGAACACATCGTTATATCTATATATAAAAAAATTAATAAATAGTGGACACAAGTGGATACAGTGCTATTTCCTATATAAAACTTTAAAAAAACAGGGAATACAAGCGGACACACCTGGACACAGTCCTGTTTCTATGTACAAAATATAAAAATTAGTGGATACAGGCGGACACAGCAGGACACAGTATTATTTCCTATATAAAATTTAAAGAAACAGGGGCTAAAGGCGGACACACGTGGACACGGTGCAATTTCTATATAAAAATTACAGAAACAGGGGGCTACAGGCGGACACAGCTGGACACAACGTAATTTTTATATTAAATTTAAGAAAGAGGGGCTACAGGCGGACACACGTGGACACAACGTTCATTCTATATAAAATTATAGAAACTGGTGGCTACAGACTGACACATGTTGACACAGTGCTTTTTCTATATAAAACTTTAAGAAGCATTGGGCTACAGAAAAAAGGTTGTCTTGCTGTGCATCGTTTTAATGTTCAAGAAACCCACTTTTCACGAGCTACATGTGATTCGTGTTGTCTACTACTATCTGGGTATGAATGCAATGCATGGACAAATGGACGAAAGAACGGACGGATGGACCCATTCACCCATCACAATATTCCGTCCAATTAAGAAAGCAGAGTGCATAGTGAATATTAGGCAAAACAAAATGAAGGAAATCGAAAAAAAAATGCCCGACATATAATTTAGCAGACTTTGTTTTGCAAGAGGTGAAAATGAATATTCCATTTTCAAAATATCCTCCTGACCCAAAGATAATAAAATTAACTTCTCCATATGAAAGTTTAACGCCACTTTCAACAATTTCTCAATTTAATCGTGGTCTTCTGTTTTGTTGGTGGGGGAAGCCGTGATAACAACAAAAAAACCCTTCCAACCCTTCATCGAACGTAAATTTGATATGCTTAATAATGTTCAAACGTTATAATCTTTTAAAATTTATTTCGATACCTTCTCTTTTCCGATAAAACTAACTGATTAAAGTTGATAGAAAGAAAATGTCAGGGAAAATGTGAATAAGAATAATAAATTCACACATTTCAACGCTTTTTTATGTATTTTACGCTACTGTGTTACACATTTCTCTATTCTAGAAAATGATATAAAATAAGGAGATGTGGTATAATTGCCAAAATAGAAAACTACAGTGTATCTACCAGACCAAATGACGTAAATGTTTGCAACTATAGGTCACCGTATGACCCCCAAAATGGAGCAAAACCCATCCCGCATAAAAGCTAAGAAAGGCCCCGACATGACAAGTATATTTTAAATAAATTTCAAATAAACGAAATTGCTGTTGAGTAAAACATCGAATGTGAATGTGTTTTTATTCCTGTGTTGTTTTTTTTTTTATTCATTTATTTTGATCAATTTGTAGATTTTCCTTGTAGTCGTTCAACAAAATAGTAAGAAATGGGGGGAAAACGATCTTAAACCTAATCGATCACTACCATGAAACAATGCCATTTTAAGAATAATGATCGTGTTCTTTTGCTGGATCCTCGTCCGTGTATTGCGGAATAAATTGTTACTATTTCATTGTTTAAAAATCATCTCAGCATTATCAAACAAACCAATACAAGTAACTATAATAAATGATTATCTGTACTTTTTGAGATGGTCCCCACTATAGCCTGTAGTGGTATTGGTATTTAACATCAGCGTCAAAATCGTAATTGACTTTCCTAGTATATGTAAGAGAATGATAATCCCTTTCTTCATGAATAAGTACGAGCGTTAGCGAGTACTTATCATGAAGTAAGGGATTATCATTCTCTTACAAACTTAGAATATTGTAAAGTGCTCAAGGCTCAAATGATATCAATTAGTTTCATTGTCAGTGCAATGTTTATAATTGATGCATGACTTCCCTTTTCGGCATGTCATTTATGGATTAGTTTTAGTGATGTGAGGACTTTCTTATCATTTGGGAAATATTTTAAAAAAAATGCGTTATAGATATTAGGTGACACAAAAGTAGAAAGAAAAGGTAGGAATTGTATGTTTCCTGATTGTGAGTATGAATGTAAATCATGTAATATTTTAGTGAGGAATTATCCTTTTTTTATTTACAGTTTAAATCAATTTATACATTTGAGTTACAACTAAATTTTATTTCACAACCAATAATTTGGTCCGGCTTTTTACATCAAATACTGTTTCATTATGTCAGGGAAATGTTCAAAAATAATGCACTTAAAAGTTTTTAATATGTTCAAAACTAAATTCCTGTTTTTTTTAATTTTTTTATCGGAATACATGTATTGGAAATAACTATTCTCCCCAACCGCTGATCAAGTAATCAAAGTTTTGGAAAGCTAAAGATTTAGGTTATTTTTTATCTGAAAGATTTTTTTCTTTTTTTTTTTTTGCATTGCTTTGGTATTGTTTAATTTTATAGTAATTTGAAGTTATTGATATTTTCATAATAACATTCACGGTACCAATTTTACTGCACCAGTAAACTTCAACTTATTTTGAGATTTTTGTTTGTTTCATAATTCAACTTTTAGTCAGTTTCAATCACTCTGTGATAAATCCTTTCAATCTGATAAATGTGCTTCGGGGCAGTTGTAACTCATTTATAGAAACTCTTTGTTTTGAACTGTAAATAGACCCAAATTATAGGATAATCCCTTACTAAGAACATGATTTACATTCATTCTTCACAATTAAGAGGCATCCAATCCTACAATTTCATTGGTCGAGAGTACTTTGCTATATTCTAAACACGTCTATTTGTTACACGGACACTTTTTATGAATAGAATCACCCGTGCATGATCAGTGAGTTCATGGGCACTTTAAATTTCAATTAGATTTGAACTTTTTGTTTCACCGACATATGCCCCGTCTTTTTTAGCATCAATAACTATATTTTTTTCAAACAATTCAAGTAAATGACTATTCATATCAATACACTAAGGGATTGACCATTTAACTTCAAAAGGGAGGTTATGGTTTTTTCCTAAAAAAATATTTTGATCCTCAATTTTATGAGAAAAATATATTGTGGTCAAGCAGATGACAAAATATATGTTCTGATTCCCGATTTTCTGAATACCGTATATAATAGTGCTAATTTCGAAAAAAAAAATATTTGGGTGATAGCGTTGAAAAACTAAATAATGTTCTTACTCAGAAAAAAAACATTACCCCCCTTTTGAAGATAAATGGTCGGTCCGTAAATGTATTTTTTTTTCAATACATGGACATGAATAGTATTCTGGACAATGCTAAAAGTAAAGAAATGCTAATACCGACGTTTATATTTCAATAAAAAAGACAGGAAATATATAAAAAAAAATCAAATCTAATCAAAAAATAATATCCCTATCAACTCACCAATGCACGATTGATCCTATAAATAAAAAGTCTCCGTGAAATACATGTTCAAATAGGCAGCAAATCTTGAGGAAAATCATTCAACTTATGTCATCAATTTTTGACGGTTAGTTGAGACTGATCATATAGTGACACGTGTTTAATCCTGATCAACACTATCAGAGACATATATAAACCTATAAGCATGAACATTTTTTTTTAAATCCAAAATATATGCATAGTAACAAGACAAATCCATTTTTCATAACATTTCATTCACTAATGAGAAAGGAAATTCATTCTTTTGATACACATATATTGTTATTGAATTCATATATTTGGCGGAAAACGTACAATTTTTACGATTTTTTTAAGGGGGAATGGAGGGATGGAATGGAACATCCTGCATTTTTCAACAAAAAATGATTAAGCCTGTTTATCTTAAATCTATTTTACCCCCCCCCCCCCTTTTCCATTTTTCCCTAATAAAAATCAAATGGTACTTTGCTTACCTCTGAAATCTTTTTTATACATTATCTTACTTGCGAAGTTGTATTTTAAAGTCTCAAATGTGTAACTGTAACATTCACCTTTTACTTGAAATTGTTCTTTTTATAAATTATTAGATTCTTGAATTTTTTGAAAAAAAACTCTCGGCTGAAGGGAAGTGAAATAAAAATTGTGCTTAAACTGTAACTTTTATTAACTGGTATATGGCCATTTAAGTTTCTATTATGTTTAGTTTTGCTACCTCTTCTAAATGCAAAATGTACAACTCTTGAAACGTCGTACAAGTACAATATAAAACAAAGCTAACAAAAAACAGGCCGGAAACAACCTGCCGTATAGTTTTTCTGCACTTGTAGTAAGGTCAAGGTCCTCGGCTATCGCCTCGGAACTTGACGTGACTACTCGTGCAGAAAAACTATCCGGCAACGGTTGTTACCGGCCTGTTTCTTTGTTACCTTTGTATTGTATCTAATACTTAAAACCTAATTTGTATGACTATAGTCAATAAAAAAAACTTCAATTACGAATAAACATTCATTATTGTTATATCTTGAATAGAAAAAGACAGATTGATGTAGGCATTTGAATCAAGATTGATACATACATGTGATACACTTCAGCTAGATTATCAAATACAATTTCGGTATCAGAAAAAAAAAATTTTTTTTAAAGTAAAATCGACTATTTTTTATTCATGGCCGCCATAATGTTAGTAGCGTAATACATTGTTATAATTGCAGAATATATTTTGTTTGGGACACATAGCCTAGAATAATTTGCTTTTTATTAGCTACCCTTATACTGCAAAGGCTTTAACGCATCAAACATACTGGACAATGCTATAGGCCTATTTACCGTTTTATGATTTTTATGTATTTTCGATTAGAACATAAATTCGACATTTAAACTTTATGAATATGTTTGTAGTGGAGCTTACGTGGTAGTCATTTCGGTCATTTAAGGTTTCGAACAGACTTTTAAAATACATTCGTACAATAAACAGTTTACTCCGAAATAATTTTCAACCGTCTCGGTGGTCTCGTGGTAGCGTGTTAAACTCGTACGCGGGAGGTCGTGGTCATTGGTTCGAACCACGGCCTGGTCAAACCAAAGATTTTAAATTGGTACTTGCTGCTTCTCTGCTAAACATGCGGCATTGAGGAGCAAGAGCAAAGACTGGTCGGCTCCAAGTCAGAATAATATGTTCGGGTAAGATGCTATATCTTCTTGCGGGCTAGTACTGTTACTTTCTCACCTAGCACGCTTAAAATCCGGCTCAGTGTGTCGGCCTAGTACAAAGGTTAAGCAGGGTTAATATTTTTTCTTGTCCTGAATATGCATTTAATTTGCCGCTGACCGCTAAGCAGCCGTCCATGATCATCCGAAGTCATTTAGATAAATTAGTAAAACAAACGGTTTACTCCTATAAAACAGAAGAATCATGCTTTCGTATCTCTTGAATTGTAAAAAATAAAATAGGAAGTTACTGATTGTAGATCTCGTTTAAATTATAATAGTGGTACCTGTAGATCCGATATACATGTACCTTGATGATGTCCTTTTTTCTTCAGAAAACGGTTACATTGGGTATGATGAATTCGAAACAATGATGACGCAATATTACGACGTTCTTGATTACCAGGAACAGGAAATAAGAAAAGCATTTAAACGATTTGATACGGACGGAACGGGATTTCTGGACCACACACAGCTAAAGCGAGCTCTCAAAAATATTGGTGACCAATTGACGGAGGAGGAATGTGATGAATTCTTTAATCTTACTGATACTAACAACGATGGAAAAATAGACATCGAAGGTACATTAGTATATGAAGTTTCACAATTATTACAGTGTTTGTTGAACATGTTTTATTTTACTTTAGGATATATTGGTGTAGTTTGAAATGTAATTATCAGCTATGCATACATTTGTTTCCTATTGAACAATAGCTTATTTTGTTTGACGTTATTTTACATACATTCACAATAAAACGCTCACTCATAATATCTCGACACAAAAATGATTTATTAACCCTGGAATAAATTACTGTAGCTGTATTTCGGAATTTTGGGTCCTTAATGCTCTTGTATTTTGTTTGACCTTTTTAACTTTTTAAACGAAACGCGCGTTTTGCATACGAAATCTAAATTCTGATATCTGTGATACGTTTGCTCACACAACCTCTGACAAACACGTAAATACCAATGTAAATTCTAGTAGGTGCACCATTTCCTTCAATTAACACCGCAAATTTGCAAAGAAAGCGTATCGAGGTTCAGTAATTCATTAGAAGAGTATGATACGATTGAATGATAAAATAAGGTACAATTAAAGTAATAAGCAATCTCTTTATTTTCTTTCACGAGTCCTGAGCAATGTCTATTCATTTCAAGATTATATAGAAAAGAAATGTATATTAAGGTCCAGTATTTTTTTCTGTAATTGTCGAAACACTGTTATTCAGATGATTTCATAGGCGAAATAAATATATACAAAATCACATGGAAATGTACATTTTATATGCCTAATAAATTTTTTTCTTTTTCTTTCAGAATTTGTAGTATTATTTACGGCAAAGTAGAACAAGAACAAATTCATTCTTCAATCAACTAGGTTGATTATTTCATAGACAAACGTTAAGTACGAGCCAAAGCATCTAGCCATCAGAAAACAGAAGATGCATTTCATTTGCGTCATCTGAATATACAATCACAACAGTTGTCTCAGTCTTACTTAATATAAGTTACTGAAAGAAGTCAATAAAAGTTGTCTCAGTCTTACTTAATATAAGTTACTGAAAGAAGTCAATAAAACACATGCATTCCTAACATTTAATGTGTGTTTATACATGCCTTTAAAAGATTCTCTCTATCTATCATAGTTCCTGCAAAAAACAAAAATAAAATCATCTTTCTAAGGCAAAAACTTCTATTAGAAATCGTCCACGTTAACTTATTTGTAGCTCTTACTTTGCTGAACGTTTTTCATGTTTGAAATTTCTCTCTTTCTATCATAGTTTCTGTGGAAAACTAAACGATTTAGTAAAAAAAAGTTTGCCAAGGGCAATAACTCTTTTAAGGGACCAATAGACAGTTTCAGTCATGTTTGACTTTTTTGTAGCGTTTACTTTGTTCTGCCTCACGCATAAATTTTGCGTAACAGATAACCAAGTAGATTGTTCAAACTTTAGTTTATTTACTGGATGATGGTGAAAAACTGAAAATACACAGATAATCACTTTTACTATTCTGAAAAATACATACGCTAAAGAAATTATGACACAAATGATTCCACACTTTAAAATTTTCACGAGCGAGGATATTTATGGAATTCACAATAAACCTTTAAAATGACCAATTAACGGTCAACAATATATTAATTGAATGTCTTAATGTATGCTATAATGAAAAAAAGAAACAATTGTTTGTGTAGTTTGCAAGCGTTCTAATAAATGTTCTTTGTGTTGTGGGTCAATCCTTTGAAGATACGCCTCGAAAACATTAAAACAGGCAAAAAAGGCACATCCTCTGTGTTGATATATAACACTAAAGCAGTTAAATATCGCCATTGTGCCTGCAACAATAACATCCATACTGTATAGTCAGTTATAAAAGGCCCCGACATACTAACTTGTCAAGCAATTCAAACAAAAAACCAACAGCTTGATCTAATTTTCATGCTTTTTTCACATTTCTCGATCGGTATGAGAAATGTATTTCTCATCTCTAGAGAAAACTTTGTTCTCGGCAAATGATTGGTCGAAATTTAATTATGACTTCAGGTTTTCTTTGTTTCTTCTGCATGGTCTGGATTTCCTATTGTGACGTCATGAAATAAGGCTAGCATGCATGCTGACGTCACATATAAAGAACACAAAATCTTTGAAAAGGAAGGATAAACGTTGTTTAGATATTGCTAAAAATTAGACTAGAATATAATTAGACTGGATTAGAGAAACAGATTACACCACTATAACTCGTGTTTTACGATATTTCTCCACTCTCAACAGATAACATTTAATTATCTAAAAAGCTCGGCAAGCCTCGCGCTTTTAATATTTGAAGTTAACTGTCTCGAGTAGAGAAATATCGTAACACATTTGATACAGTGGTGGAATCTATATGACTCATCAAATTGGCATGAAGAAAAAAAATAACTAACATAAAGACAAATGACATTAAGCACCGGTTTTAGAGTACGCAATGTTACTGTAAGCTAGATCAAAGCCAAAATAAACTAATAAATAAATCATTTTTATCGTGTTAAAGATATTAAAAATTAAAATACAATGACAGATTTTTAAATGCATTAAACATGTTAAAAGCAATACTATCCTACTATTAGCATAAATTGCGCTCTTTGTATGTACATGTAAATTATTAAGTTACATATGTTGTTATGTCTTGGTTAAGTTTCGTTTGCATGCTAAATTTACTAAATATATTACCGTTAAACCGTTTTATTTTACTTAGTCTATCGTAGTCACTCACAGATATATTTACGATCTTTCCTTGACGGCATCGAGGAAAGATCGTAAATATATCTGTGAGTGACTACGATAGACTAAGTAAAATAAAACGGTTTAACGTAGTCTATCGTAGTCACTCACAGATATATTTACGATCTTTCCTCGATGCCGTCAAGATTTTTCTTCTTCAGAAACTAGTTTAATTACTGCTTACTTTACAACAAAAGAGCTTGAATCGACCAGTGTTTTCGTTGCATCATTTTGAATATTATATATCTATATATTCATGTACTGAACATGATCATCACTGGAAACACGCACTTCATTTTCATAGTTGTTTTCAATAGCATTGTTTTCCTTCTGTAAATCCAAATCAGTATATTGATTATTCGGATTATTGTTTATCGTCATATGAATATCGTTATATAATGTATTCTCCTGAAATGCTTTTCGTCTCCTAAAATGTAGAAAAAAGTAGTTTCAAGATTGATTTACCTCAGACTTTTTATTAAAGTTCAATATCGCTTTTCACTTTTTTGTAACAATACATTTGTAAAAATAAAATGCTTTATATCTAGCCTTTAAGTTGGCCTATATCCATTATTGAACTTGATAATTATATTGCCCTTTTAAATTCAGTTACTGGTTTTAACGCAATTTTGAAATGTTTTTCACAGTGAAAATAATACTTTTATACAATTTCATAAGTGTCGCGTGTCTCCGATCCCGCGAAAACGTAAAAGTCAGAGATTGTTAATACACAAACCTATATGGATGATTATAATAAACGAGAACGAAATTCTATTCAAAATGACGTTCAACGACACAATTAAAACATGTTCGTCCATGAACAATCTTCCTTTGTGGAGAGTCGCTCTGATGTCAGATAAACAAATACGGCGAGGACGATATCATCAAAACTTTTTGATCGAAAAAAAAAAGATATTGGTGTGTTTGGTGGACTCAGTCTTCACCAGGCTGTCGGTATTCCAATTGACATTTTAACAACTATTTCCTGACTTGTGTTTGACTAATATGAAGCAGAATACATACAAACACTTTTCAAAGACAAAAAGAAAAAAATATGAAACAATCAAAACCAATCGTGTTAAACTGCTCATTATTGTTATTGTATAATATCTCAAAGAACCATAAGCATTCAATTAGAACGCAATTTGTTAATGATATATGTATATGTCATATTCAGCTATTTCAAGAAGAAAAATTAAACCAGACATTGTTTTGCTTCATCAAAGTTGAATCCATTACGAAATAGAAAATGACAAACACATATTTCTTTCATGTATAAATACGAATGTAAAATGAAGCGTGATCTACGAAAAGTACTTACCATAATCGATAAAAGCGATAAATAACGAGAAAGAACAAAACGACGACAACAATTGTGGGAACTGACACATAAACGATGAAACCTAAAATAAGTTATGAAAAGAAAATTACAAGGTTAGAATAAATGAAGTACGAAGAATAGTACAACATTTGACAATTGATTGGTTGATTGATTGTTGGTTCATCAACACCCAGAGGCAAATATATATTTCATACATGTTTAGGATTAATTGGCAATTGACTAATACAAATACAAAATACCTCTTACATAACTAATTCGTCTAGACAAATCGTGAATTTCTCACATATTCTCAGGACAGTTTTGAATATAAAATAAATACGGATTTTGTTTTAAATGCTACAGATAAACAAGAAAAAGTTCAACAAAGTAAAAACTAGAAGGAAGAATGATTTCTTGAAATTAACGATATTGTCATGGGGTCGTCTGCCGTTCATCACATATTATCTACCAATTGACGTGTGTTTTCTTTCAGATGTGTTTATTATAGGAGTACATGTTTTTTTGAAAAGGTTCTTGTATGTAAAAGTGGATGACACAAATTTACACTAAATAAGGTCTGAAAGATTTAATGTTAAGTTTGCTAATGAAAAGTTTGAGTCTAATTATAAAAAAGACTCCTTAAAAATAACCTGTTTTACTAATAATTTCAATAAAATGCAATACAATTATGCCCCCCAAAAAGCTAATTCATCCATTGACGCCATGACTCAGGTCTGTACATGGTTGCCAGGACGCGCATCAATGAAATAAGACTTGTATGACTATGACATTTAACTTATCCACTAATGTAACTTTCACTTGTAAATGTTCATCACTCTAGCTTGACGATCTACCAGATTACTTATCAAGCTATTTATACTTTTTCATTTAACACCTGATTTCGTATTTGTGTTAATTTGCATATAAAATATGTATATAATAAATTGAAAACAACACGTTTAATAATTTCATGCGTCCGAAGCGCTTTTCTGGATTTACCTTCATCAGGAACGCTCAAAGCCAAACATTTGAAATCCGAGGGATGTATAAGTACCGAAACAGTTGAAGAGCTATATGACAAAAAAAACCTAAAACAAATAGCCAACAAAACAATACATGTGTCAATGATTGTTCTGATTTTGTTATGGAATTGGAAGTTTTGAATTAAATGCAGAGTTTATTATTTTACTTATTTTATTATTGCTACATCGTATTTGACTTCTTTTAAAAATCTAAACGATAGTTTCTACATTTGTTTTATAAATGTTTAAACGCAATCAAAATACACATGGCACGTTACGGTTATTTGAACAGCATGCATCAGGTACGCTTGGGATCGAAAGGATATGAAGAATCGACAGCAGCCATAATTCCGCCATGACAGTGACTTTATGAAGTTGTCGTTGTCCATGGACCATTCTAACATCAAACTTGTTATTAAGAATGATATACAAACTCAAATAGTCATTTATCATTAAACAACCATAAAATGTTATTTATCCAATAGATAAAAACAGACAGGACGAATACAATTTCATGCTTCAATATGTCCTTGTACAGTATAAAATGAAAATATGGACTGTACAACGGATCACTCATACAACCAACGTTCGACTCCCCGGTCACTCGCGTTTTTTGGTGGATCTCGTTTTGCTTGATCTTAAGTTTACTGTGTATTGTTATTTTGGCTGATGACTGTCTATTCGTGATTGGTTTTTTTTGCCATAGTATTATCATTGTTTCTTCGATATGTGGTGTTTGATTGTCCCTTTTTATATATTCTGTTCCTTTTTAGAATAGACCAACAGTTTATCTTCATTCACATTATCAGACCATTATCTTCAATATAGGAACAGAGCATGACATATTTCATGAATAGTCCTACAATCCGTTGACTGTACTAGCAAATATATCCTTTTTCAACGAAATTTTAACACAAT